TCTGATGACGTCACGGGGGCCGGTGCGGCAGAGTCCTCTACCTGGAGATGTACAAGAATTTAATAAGTCTGGTGTTAAAGCAATTTGTCATGGCATATTTGAGGAATAAATCAGACTAATGGAGCAGATTTCTCCTCCCGTCTGGCATTAAGGAACGCAAGCCCCGTAACAGCTAATGGCAGGAGAGGAGGCGGAGAGGGTCGGCGCGAGGGCCCTCGCGTTTTGGAAATCCAATACGTATTGACCTGTGGGCTATCTCCGAGCCCAGATCTGATGTCAGCAGAGTGTAGCTTGTAGGGAGCTGCTCATTACAGGGCCTCTGAAGGAAGCGCATTGTCTCGGCCCGATCGGCTACAACCGCTCAGTAATCAATACTGCTCGGCTGATGGCCGGCGCGCTCACGGCGCAGCTGCGGCCTCTGCTTTCAGGGACTCCCCGGTAATTAGCAGGGATTGGAGGAAGCACTCCACGCCACTCTCCTCAGCCGAGAGAAGTCTCTTCAAGGGGCGACTCTTAACTCCTTCCTGGCCAGCGCTGGCCACGGCGGACGCCCCCGCCCCGCTGTCCTGCCCTCTCTGGGCAGTGCCGCGCAGGCGTGGCCCATCGGAAGCAAGTGGACGCCACGGCCGGCCGTCGCGGCCGATGTCCGGCAGGACTTGCCGTGGCCTTCATTCATTCTCGGGGGGTGCCGAGGCCCGGCTCGCCAGTGTCCGAGGAGGTGTGGTGCCCCCCTGCAGAGCCAGACCCCAGGGGGTACCCCACATCCGGTCAGGTCCCCCGCACGCCGCCCCAGGAGGGTGTCCCTTCTCCTGCCTTCCCGCTGGGTTTTCCGCACCGGCCTCTCCTGTCGAGGTCTTACGTGGGAACGGCCTCCTGGCTTTGCATTCTGAATTCTGCGGCTGAAACTGAGGGGGTTGGTTGGGGTGGGGCAGAGTACCACCCCCGGGAGCCTCCCGCTGTCGAGGCCGAGACCTGCCAAGAAGCTTCGGGTGTTTGGACCACCCTGCCCCAGGTTCTCTCCCTTTGCTGCCTGACGAGCCCCCGGGAGCCGGGCCTGGCCCCGGGGCTGCTGCAACCTCCCAGTCTCGGCTCACGTTTTCCGGGTGCCCATCCTGGGCCTGGAGACCAGGCCGTGCCTGCCAGGGCTGTGCCGAGGCGGTTCGGAGCCAGTGGGCGCGTGGAGGGGCAGCAGTGGCTGTTCCCCGCCCTGAGCTCCGCACAGCCTCAGACACCCCGGAAGTTCCCAGCACCTGGCCGCGGCGGCTCCAGGGGTGAGGGGACGCCCGGGTGCGAGGGGCTCACGGCGCCCCCCAGCCCGCCCAGCCCAGCCCAGCCCGCTGCATTTCTGCAGAGAACATCCATCTCTGCTTTGACCAGAGGGAAAGAAATCATTATTACATGATTAGTGGCTTCACTTAGGTGAAAAACAGCAGTCTCGGGAAGGCGGGCGGGATGAGCTGTATTAATTACCCAACACTCGCTGGCAAAATGATTTTATCAGTGATTTGGCCACACCGGCGAGCTCCTTGCCGCCTGGATCACAGGGGCCAAGTTCTGTGTCCGCGTGCGGGGAGGGCGCGGTGGCGGCGAGGGCGGTGTCGGGCGGAACAGCCCTCGTCAGCCTTTCTGACAAACCAAATTCATTCCTTATGTAATTGATAACGGCCTCGGCCAATTACTTCACACATTACAATACACAAAGGCCCCCTTACAGGTTCTGCAGGGTTGTAATTAGCCATGCTAATATCCCTTTATTGGCCCTAATATTGTTCAACACCTTTTGCCATCCCGGAACCCACTGGAGCCCGTGGCCTGTCAGGACCGCTGCTTATTGAGAAGGATAGCTTTAATCAAACATAATTGCAGTTAATTTTTCTCTCCTGCTCTCTGTTGCCAGCGTCTAATGCCACGGACTCCTTGATATTCCATTAAATTACAATTAAACAGCCCCCTTTGTTTCTGATTGTCCTGAACACCACCACAAAGTTCTGTAGCCGTTTAAAGGAGGGCTGTTCGTCCTAATTGGCTGCGCGCTCACCAAGGACCAATTTGCACAATACCCATGTAGAATTTAAACAGTTCATAATGTAATGGATATTACACAGGAGCCTAACACTACAATTAAAATGATTTTCATCAGATAGAGAAGCTCTGGTTAATCAGCTTCATAAAAGTAAACATAAATGAACTAATTCATAGCTTAAACACAGAAATGGAGCCGACTTGGAAATCAGTTGGGTGCCCCCACGCCGGCCGCCCCGGGCAGGGCCGACCCAGCTGGCGCGTCGTGGCGTTGGGGGTGGGGGGTTTGAGACCGAGACCCAACTCCTGGCCGAGCGCGTGTCTGTCCTGCAGGCCAGTGGCCCGGCCTCACTGTCCATCCCGGCAGACGGGCCTCTGGGTGCTCCCGGTGCTCGAACCAGGCCCCCTAAGGACTCGAGACGGTCCCGAGCCCGAGCCCAGCATGCCCAGGCGCTGGCCACTGACCTCGGAGCCGGCTCTCTCCTCCCCGCTAGCCCCGTTAGAGCACTTGCCCGGGGTGTGTGTGCGTGTGTGCGTGTGCAGGTGTGTGTCTGTGAGATTGGGGTCGGGTGCTCCTGGGAGGATCAAGAACTTCCCTGAAGTGTGTGAGTTGTGTGTGTGTGTGTGTGTGTGTGTGTGTGTGAGATAGGGGGATGTCAGGTGCTCCCGGGAGGACTTCCCGTGTGTGTGTGTGTTGTGTGTGTCTGTGTCTGTGCGTGAGTGTGTGTGTGGTTGGGGTAGGTGCTCCAGGGAGGACCGAGGGGCGTGTCTGCCCCGAGCTGCCGCCTGCCTCCTGCCTGGGAGAGACAAGTAAATAAAGCCCATATTTCAAGCTTGATTTACTCTGGTGCCTCCTGCGAAAGATGATGACTCTTTAGGGAAATAAAGACAGGTCAGGAATCAGTGTACATAATGGTCATTTTGCTGATGGGCCGACAGATGCGGAGGGCCACTGTACACAATTAAGCGCGGGGTCCTAATGACAGGTTCGCATTTCCCCGCACGCCGGCATCGAGCAGCAAATCCATGCTTAGCAGCAATAAAGAGTTTATTGGTGTGAAAGCCAAAGATTTTCTGACATCGGAGAGATTTTTCCTTTCATAACAAGAGTATTAAATCCTTTGTGTACCGGAGTCTGGAAGAGATATGCAGAGCGTTGTCAGATATTCCGGAGGAAAAGGCCAATTAATGGCGCCCAGGAAAGGCCGGGCTGCCCCGCCCGACTCCGGGTCAGGCCCACCGGCCCCCGCCCCCCGCCCCGCGTCCCCGCCCTGCGCCCCGGCCCTGCGGTGGTGCCACCCTGCTCCGACTGCGTCCTGCCCCCCGCCACGACAAGGCTTAATTGAATCCTGGAGCCGAACGGCCCAGAGGAGAAGGTGGGAGCCAGCCCCCCCCCACGAGGCTTCGCCGCGGCCCCTGGGGTCCTTCCCGCGTGCTGGCGTGGGGAGAGGGGCCCCGCGAAGTTTCCCAAGCGCCCAGTCACGTGCGTGGCGCTGCTCCGTCTCCAGGCAGCATGTGTGTGTGTGCGTGCGTGTGCGCACGTGCCTGCCTGGCCGTGACCGCGATGCATGTCTGCCTGCACGTGTGTGGGGACGTGCCACATCTCCTGTCTGCTCCGTGAAGAGGCCCGAGCGTGTGCATGTGCCGTGTGTGTACGCCTGGGGGGCGTGGCGCCGTGTTTGCGTGTATCTGCATGGATGGCAGGCACGTGTGTCCCCGCTGCCTCTGTGCTCCCGGGCCAGCCCCCGCCTGCCCCGTGTCTGCCGGTGGTGACCGCGTGGCTCTCTGGAACTTTTCCCGCCTTGGAGGAATGTTTACACCACCCTGGGTGTCGGGCACAGGTGGGGCCGACGGTGAAGCCACACCTGCAGCCCCCCCAGCCAGGCCGGGCTGGGCCCCGCAGAGCCCCGGTCAGACCCCTTCCTGCTGCCTCGCGAGCCCCCTGCACGCGGCCCCGGGCGGGGCTGCCGGTCCCCGCCGCGCTCACCTAATTACCTGCCAGGCCGGTGACTTTGCGGCGCCCTCACCTTGTTAGGGCCGCGGCGCGGGCTCAGACGCGCTCGGCCCAGGTGCGGCTCATTCACCTCGCCGCGCGCGGGGCTTAATTGCGCGGCGGCGGCGGTTCGGAGAGTCGGTGGGTGGAATAGCAAATGCGGGCGCCCTGGCAGATGGCGCGGGAGGCGCGCGGCACGGAGGGTAGGTGAGCGAGTTAATAAAAGATGTAAATTCGACCCTAAAGCGGTCGGGCCGCGGCATCGAGGAAATCTAATTAAGTGCCCACTGTCGCCGGGCTGTCCGTGGGGTCTCCCTGCCTGGGGAGGGCGCGGGCGCGGGCACCCCCTGCTTCCAGGCAGAGTGGGCCCCCCGGTCCCACACGATGCCGGGTTCGAGGCTCGCTGAGGCTCTTCCCCGCCTGAGCCCTGGGTTCTGCGCAGGGCATGCAGCGGCGTGAGCTCGGGGCCAGGGCTGTGCGGGCGCAGACGGGAGCAGGCGGGCAGCGGACACCCTCTCCGGGCCCCTGAGTGGGCTGGACGGCACGGCCGGCTCCAGGACCCCGTCTCCCCAGGCCCCGATTCCTCACACTGCCAAGTGGCACGAAGTGGGGCTGGGGGCCAAGAAGGGCCGCCTGGCCTTGTGCCCCCCCCCCCCCGTCCCCACTGCTGCCCCCACATCCACCTTGATTCCCGTTTCTATTCACCGATTCACGTGTTTGTGAGGTTGCCACGTGCCGGGGCCACATCCGGCCGTGGACATCCCGGCTGCCTTTGCACGCGAGTTGCCGGCCACCACGTGGGGGTGGGCCGCTGCTCAGAGAGGGGGTGCGAGGGGGACCCTGGCCCCAGGCCCAGCGCCTGCCTCTCACGGTCGCCCCCTGGGGACAGCCCAGGGGTCCCTGCCCCAGAGTCCCACGTCTGTTGTCTGATGGCCCTAACATGTATCCCCCCGCCTTTTTTTTTTTTTATTTTGTATCTTTATAGATTCTTTCTAAAGTTTTTCCTCAAGTGCAATCAGAACTGTCTGAAGAATGCAGGCAACCCTCGGGACATGCGAAGATTCCAGGTAGGTCCGGCGGCCGCTTGCGGGGGTCCCTGCACACCCAGAGGGCAGCCTGGGCACGAGGTTCTTTCTCGGCCGGACTCCCTGAGGGTGGGCCCGGCTGGTTCTGGGGAGCGTGTCCCAGGCTCCCCGCCCGCTCGCTCAGCCCCTGCTTGGCCAGGCGGAGCTGCAGGGGCACAGGCCGGGGCCAGCCTGGGGCGGGTTCTGAAGGATGCAGGAGAATCAGCCCCGACTGTCCTCAGGGCCTCATAGGCGGACCCAGGCTCTCAGGGAACCTGAGAACCCCAGGAACCTGCTCTCGGGGCCACCGATGGGGTTGGGGCTGTCCCTGCCGGGGAGGAGCTGGGCCCGGGCCTGGCCCTGCAGGCAATCCACACTGCATGCACCCTGCGTGCCACTCGGACAGAGTGTGGGGCCAGCAGCTGGTGGGGGGTAGGGAGAGTGTCCCTTCGAGTGGCCGGCCCCTCCTGTCCCTTTGGAGGGAGAGACTCGGGCGGGTGCCCCGGCTGCCACTGGCCTTGGCCCTGCAGGGAGAACCTCAGCCCAGGGAGGTGACGGGGCAGGAGGCCCGTTCCGAGGTCGCTGCTGGTCCAGAGCAGAGCCCTGGACCAGCTCCTCCCGCCTGCTCCCCGGGGGGCTGCAGACACACAAAGGAGCCTGGGGCAGGAGCACAGGGGGAGGAGCACAGGGGGAGGAACGTGGAGGAGGGGCATGAGGGAAGAGCACCAGGGAGGAACACCCGGGGAGGAGCACCGAGGAGCACAAGAGAGGAGCACGAGGGAGGAGCCCAGGGGGAGGAGCATGAGGGAGGAGCACGAGGGAGGAGGACAAGGGAGGAGCACAGGGAGAGGAGCACCGGGGGAGGAGCATGAGGGAGGAGCACAAGGGAGGAGCACGGGGGAGGAGTACGGGGGAGGAGCACAGAGGGAGGAGCACGAGGGAGGAGCCCAGGGGGAGGAGCACGAGGGAGGAGCACAAGGGAGGAGCACGGGGGAGGAGCACAGAGGGAGGAGCATGAGGGAGGCGTGCAGGGGGAGGGGCACCAAGGGAGGAGCACGGGGGAGGAGCACGGGGGAGGAGCAGACACAGGTATGGGGCAGCTGCCGGAGGCCCGGTGAGGTGGCCCCTGATGCTGGCTTGTGTCAGGGGCCGCTGCCCCGAGGCCCCAGTGGCCCCCATGTGCCCAGCCCCTGGGCGGCCTCTATGGAGGGTCTGTGGCCGCTGCCCTGGCCCCTCTGCACTCCCCTTCCTGGCTGCTTCCTGTTCTGGGGGGGTGGGCGCTGCCCTGCAGGAGCCAGGGGATCCTGGCAGCTGGCGTGCGACCGTGCAGACACCAGCTGACCCGCCTGACCCCTCCAGGGCACGGGTGGACTCGGGCAGCCTCGGCGAGGCACCGCAGACCCCACAGCTGGCAGTGACCGCAGGGAGGCGGCCCTCGGGGTCCCGGGTCACGCGCACCTGGGGGTGAGCGCTCAGCTTCCCCCCCCCCCCCCCCGTGCTGTTCCTCCTTTTCTATGTTTATTCTTGGTTTGGGGCCACACCCAGCAGTGCTCAGGGCCCACCCCTGGTGGGCTCAGGGGACCATGTGGGGTACCGGGAACCGAACCAGGGCTGGCCATAGGCAGAGGCCTTATCTCTGTGCTGTGTCTCTGGCCCAAGCGTCACTGCTTTTCATGACTTTAGTTCTTCACGTTCTGAGAGAACAGATAGAGAGACGGGGGGGGGGGGGGGGGGGGGGGAGGGGCAGCTTCAGGCTCACAGGAAGGTCTCGCAGGGACCCTGACATCCCGGGCTCAGGCCCCCACTGTCGCCTGACGCCGGGTGACTCAGTGGCTGTGGCTGATCCCCAGGACTGCGGCTCCCTTGGACACACGCCCCTTCCCTCGCCACTGCCCGCTCTGAGCTGTGGGGGTCGTGTCCTTCGGCCCCTGCCTCTGGGCCCGGCCTGGGGTGCAGCGCAGTCAGGGGGTCTTCCCGGCCCTCTGCCCGCCCCGTCCGACTTTGTGCTCAGGAGGGAAGCTGTCGGGGAGAGAGCTGTCCTGGCTCCGCGTGGGGCGGCGCCCAGATGCCTGGTCAACCCGGAGGGCGCAGAGAGGGGCCTGTTCACCCGTCCGGCCGGCGCCGTCCCGGGGGCTCCGGGACACTCGTGGGGGGCCCTGGGGGCGCCATGCCTGCGGGTGCGAGGTGGCTCTGCCTCTGGGTGCGCACGGCCCTTCAAGGGAGAACAGGCTCAAGCGGACTCATTTTAATTAGATAAACTATCTGATCAATACGTGAGCAGATCAATCACAACAGCGGCTTTCCAGCGAGTGGCTGCAGGGGGTTTGGGGCGCCAATGGCGGGAAGCCGCCTTCTCTAAACCGGCCGCTGGTGAGCAGGATAGGAGATTAGCGTGTAATTAGTGCTGTGGGGGGCAGCATCTCTGATCGGAACACCCCCCCCCCAGGCCCCCAACACTGACGGACACGGCGGACACAGGCCTACATCCAGGCCGGTCCCGCCCCGCCGACCTGCCCTCACACGCTCTTGTCTCCGCAGGTTGTTGTGTCCACCACGGTCAACGTGGACGGCCACGTGCTGGCCGTGTCTGACAACATGTTCGTCCACAACAACTCCAAGCACGGGCGGCGGGCGCGCCGCCTCGACCCGTCAGAAGGTACGGCCCCTTCTTATCTGGACAATGGTAGGCACATCGCACACCTGCTTCTCTTTGCCACGCCCCCTCCCGACCCCCTCCCATGGGGCCCCTCGCGCCCAGCCCGGGGTGGTCCTGGCCAGCGGCCGCCGTGTCCCGGCCTGCGTGTTCCTGGCTGTCCCACTGCCGAGGGACGCTCGCCTGCTCTGTGTTGACCTGGTTTGAGCGTGGCCATCAGCGGGCTGCGAGACCTGTCCACCTCCGTGCTCTGAGCACACATTGGCCGGGGCCCCTCCTGGGCTCCGAGTGGCCTCTGGGATATGGCCTGGGTCCAGATGGGGTATATTTGTGTGTGCACGCGTGTGCGCACTTGTGTTTGGGGGAGGGCCAACGCACTTTCATGTCTACCCAATGCTTGCGGGTGAGAGATTTACAGGTCACTCAAGAAAAGAGGCCTTCGGGTCTGAACGGGTGAGAGCGGGACGGGCACGGGGTGCAACAAATCTTGGATGCCGCCTCGACACCGGACCCCTCGGTCCAGCACCGATCTGTCACCCGCCTTTTGAAAGCAGGTCCCTTCTTCCACGAGTATGTCCCCCTCCTCCGAGGCTCCAGCCAATGGGGGCCCGTCGTGAGAAAACCAAGGAGTTGCTCTTCCTTCACAAGAGCGAGTCGCAAACGAAACGGGGTGATTGAGTCCTCTGGAGCCGGGGCGTGTTAGAACCACCCATTTCCAGACCGACCCCCAGTGGGGGGCTGGGGCATGGCGGCCGGGGGGCCGGCGTTGGGTCCGACCAGAGGCAGCCCCGCAACCCGGACGGAAACTGGAAGATGGTTTCTGAATCTGCCGTGGCGCACGAAAATAAACTAATTTGTTTTTCTACATTAATGACTAAGGTATAAGAGAACAAAAATATAATAATTAAAGGTCGCCCTGGGTGCTGGAGTCATTAGAATCTGTTTATCTCCTTCCTATGCACCGACACTAGGTGTGCGCTCTGCTTAGCGACCATCACTAATGAGGCTCACAATTAAGAAAGTTGAATCCCTGCCCTCCGCGCCTCCCTCCCCGGGGAGCCGCCACTCGCGGGCGAGGCTCACGGAGGCCCCCAGCTCTCTGCTGACGGGCTGGAGTCTGGGTCCAAAACCAGCTCCTCTAATGAGCTATTATGATCCAAGCAAAGCACAGTATTTATTTTTGTAAGTAGTGTGGAGAAGCCTTTGACTGTAAGCAGAAAACACAGCATTTAGAAAAATAAAGCCACTTGTGGGTACCTTGGAGATCACGGCCGGCCAATCCGAAGCTGTCGGTAGCCGCAGACGCGCTTGGGCGTCCCTGGGTTTGTCTTTCTCGTGTTGTTTTTTTTTTAATCAGCAAGCAAACGGGCTTCACTTTCTTTCAAGAGATCAGAATTTCTCGTCCCGGCCAAGAAAGTGAGGAAGAATGCAGAAAGATGCAGAGAGATGACTTGGACAGAGAGAGAGAGAGAGAGTGAGAGAGAGAGAGAGAGAGAGAGAGAGAGAGAGAGAGAGAGAGAGAGAGGAGGCGGGCCGCCAGTGCTCAGGACCTGCTGGTCTGGGGATGAACGCCCACCCTCCGGGGCTCCCCCTGCGCAGGACCGTGCCCTCTGCCTTCTCGGGGGAGTGGATGCTTGGCAAGTTCACGTGCAGGCTGGGCCCCCTCCTGCCTAAGGCGTGTGTCCTTCTGCCCATGAGCGCGATCGCAGGGGTGGTGCTGCCTCTGACCCCCCCCCCCCTTCCTGCCAGGGCAGGCGCCCCTTCGGCAGCTCTGGGCTGTGCGTCTCCTGGCGCACACCTCATTACCCAGTCAGCCCGGATTCGCCAGCAGTGCGCACCCGCGCCCGATGGTTTCCAAGTAAACTAATTCCCCCTGCTGCTGGCGTGGACGCCTGCCACCGCGTCCTTTGAGCTTCCAGACAGCAAGGCAGATTATTTACAGTACTGAGCGCAAGGAGGGGACCGACCCTCTGCCTCCGGCGCGGAGCAGACGACCGGGCTCCCTTACCCGCGCCTGGTCACCCGCCCCTGGTCACCCGGCCCCCCCAGGGCTCCAGCCCCGTCTAACCCTTCCCTGAGCCCTGCCCGGCACCAGCCCACAGCACCGGAGCGATTTGCATGCCAAGTGCCGTAATGCGGTTAGGTTTATGCAATAAGGACGAGCGAATCCGGGCTGCGGGGCTTTAGCGAGTTGAGGGGAACAGATGGCCCAAGGAGAGGTAAAAGGTATAATCCTATCAGCTGGAGTATCAGCCAGCCATCTGGACATCCCCAGCACAATTACAAGACATTTTAGCAGGCAGAACAAAGAAATCTTCGGGAGGCAAGATTAGGCCTGTTTTGAGTGCTTCAATATTGTGAATGCAGGGAAAGGTGACGAATGCCGCGAGATTACTCCAGAGAGCTGCTGATTAACGGCGCGGGTGGGAGCCGCCCCGAACCGAGCCCGGAACAGGCCGGCGGACCCCCGGAGGAAGAGGGCAAGGCCCGGGGTTTGGGTCGGCAGCACGGGTTCCAGTCCGACTGCTTTCCCCGACCCAGAGGCTGGCCCTTGCCGCAGGGGCCCCGTGGCCCTCGGGGACCCCGGAGAGGGCCCTTAGGTGGGGAACCGTCTCCCGTGCCAGCTTCTCCGGATCCTGCACGGCTCTCCCGGAGACCTGGGCCACCAAAGGGATGCTAGACAGGGCTCAGTCTGCAGGGGTGGGGAGAGTTGGGGAGCACTGGGCACACACGCGCGCACATGCACCCACCCACGCACGCACCTGCCCTCTCACGCACGCAAGCACCTACGTCGACCCACGCGGCACGTGCATTCGAGCACCAGGCCCGCACCGCGCACCCACGCAGGCACCCACGCAAGGAAGCACCAGGCACCCAAGCATGCGTGCGCACGCAAGCAAGCAAGCACCCTCCTCCCTCCCACGCAAGCACCAAGCGCACGTGCGTGTGTGTGCGCGCGCGCACAGGGACCCTCCCTGCCCCTTCCTTCCCTCCTGGCAGCCCCTGCCCTGGCCTCTCGCCGCCCCGCAGCCAGCCGGGGCGCCTGGCGAGCGCTTTGTGCGCGGGTATCATTAGGCCCCGGCGCTGTCTGTGTAACTCATTTGCGGGCCCAGCCCTCGCCCGGGCATGGACATGCATGCAAATGCACCGCGGGGAGGCCGGGCCTCTCCACGGCCGCGCGGGCGCCTCTGCACGGCCGCAGCTGCCAGGCACAGCCTCTGCGCGCGCAGCAGCCCGGCTTCTCTCTCCCTCTCCCTCTCTCTTTTTTTCCCCCCTTTTCTCACCTCCAAAGTAAATTTGTTTACTGTAATTTTTTTTTTGTGAATTATTTGCCGTAATTGGCAGTGCTGATGAAGGTCACCCCCTTGGAGGAGCCTTGCCAGCCTTTGGAGAGCTGATCCTTTTCAAATGCTCTCCATGCAATTAAGAAAAGCAAATGTCATTCGGAAGCCTCAGAAATGAAAATTTGTATGAACTTATTAGCATGAAGTCAACAGCGCTAGTTAAGGGCAGGTTCCCAGTGTGTGCTCTGCGCGCGCCGCGCGAGCCGCGTGGGGAAAGAGCAAATATAACCCCCGCTAGTCCAACATTAAAGCAAACAAAGGAAGGTGCTTGTCGGCGCCGACAACAATAGCTAATGGTGATTAACTAGACGGCCCGCGAGCGCACACGCCCGTCAGCCGAGCCAGGCTTCCGGAAACGGCGCTTATCGGCGCCCAGCCCTGACCCCGGCCGGGAAGATGATTTATCAGGAGCCCGCGACAAGGGGCTCCGCAAGATGAACAGCCTAATAAGGCCCCGGCGTCCTCCGCAGGGCCCCTGGCTGCCCGCCCGGCCGGGGCCCAGCCCAGCCGCTGGGCTGGTGGCCGCTCCCCGGCGTGGTCAGCACACGGGAGACACACAAAGGTGGCCTGCGGGAATGGCAGGCCCCTCCCCGGCCTCCTGCCCCCTGGGAGAGAGGGCGTCCTGGTGCCCGGCGGCCGCCTCCCCCGGCTTCAGCACAGCAGGACCCTCCGGGCATGAGCCCCTTCCGGCCGGCAGCCTGTTCTTTGTGTGCAAGAGCAGAGAGGCCCAGGACTGCGGGGGTGGGGGGCACCCCACGGCCCGGGCGGGAGACCCCCGTTACAACCTGGGACGGGGCTGGTGTGTCTGTGGAAGCCCCCCCCCCACCCCCGGGCGCGGTGGAGGAGGAGGGAGGACCCGGGTATCAAAGGCCCCAGCACCCGCCTGGGCCGGCCCTGCAGCCCTCCTTCCCCGCAGGCGGCCCCGGGCTAGCAGCCGGCTAATAACTCATGCAAATATGAAGACCCCAGAGACAAAGGGAGGTCAGGCCGGCGGCTGGGGACTCCTGTCCACAAACAGCATTAGGTGTAGGATGTACCTTGGACAAAGGTATCAATACGGTGCTCCTGATTTTTTTCCTTTTTTTTTCTGTCCTGAGGAAAAGGGAAAAGTGGTCCTTGTGGCCGTCAGAGGACACTGAAGTTTTGAACCAAGAGGCAAAAGTTCGTGGCTGAGAAAGGCCCCCATTGGCGGCTCGTGAGGAAGGGAAACGCAAGGCGCTTTCTCTCTCCCACCTCCGCCGCCCTCTGTTCTGGTGGCCGCAGGACGCTCCGTCATTTGGAGCCGTCGTTGCCCTGACACAGAATTTGCCCCCTCAGGCTATTTTTGCCCCTGCTCTCTAGTACTCCACGGCGTGGCCTTTGCTTCATAAAACGTGGGCTCGTTTGCGTCAGACACACCCACACACCCCTCTCCGTGGCCGTCTGTGTGGGCCGGGCGGCGGGGGCACGGGAGGCGCTGAGCCCGCCCCCACGGTGCTGGGCGGCTGGTCCGTGGCCGGGCTCTGAGTCTGTCTTCTCTGTCTTGCAACAGCCACTCCCTGCATCAAGGCCATCAGCCCCAGTGAAGGCTGGACCACGGGGGGCGCGACCGTGATCATCATCGGGGACAACTTCTTCGACGGGCTCCAGGTCGTGTTCGGAACCATGCTGGTGTGGAGCGAGGTGAGTCTCTGCTCCTGTCCGCGCCCCCCTCACGATCGGGGGTGGGGGGGAGAACGAGCCCCCACCAACGGGCCGTGGCCTGCGGGTGTGGGGGTTGTTCCCCGGTGGGGTCAGACCTGCTGCCCCCTGGGCCTCCAGCCTGTCACAGGGGAGCCCCGTGCACTGGAACAATTAGCTCCAAATGCCCGGGCCTGGTGGAGAGCATCTGGTGGCAATTTTCATATGAATGACGCCTTGTGGTGGGCCCCTCGAGGCCCTTCGAGGAGCCGCGTGGGCCCCGGGTCTCAGGGAGATGATCCCGTTTCTGCGCGCCGGGGTCTGGGGTTTGGCGTTCCGGGCTGAGTTTACTGGGCCACACCTGGTGGCACTCAGGGCCGGCTCCTGGCCCTGAGCCTGGGGTCAAGCTGGGCGGGTCAGGCCTGGGCCCTTCCCTGGCCGGGCTGTGCGCACGTGGCTGGTGCCCCCTGTTGTGAGCCGCTGACAGTCGCTCTGTGGTTCCCAGCTGATCACGCCGCACGCCATCCGTGTGCAGACGCCACCTCGCCACATCCCTGGAGTCGTGGAAGTGACGCTGTCCTACAAGTCCAAGCAGTTCTGCAAAGGTGCTCCTGGGCGCTTCGTGTACACAGGTGAGTGCAGCCACGCCTCCCTGGGTCTCGTGTATACGGGTGAGAGCAGCCACGCCTCCCCTGGTCTCATGTACATGGGAGACGCGGATCCAGTTTCTGGATGGGAGAGTGCAGCCACACCTCCCTGGTCTCATGTACTCGGGTGAGAGCAGCCACGCCTCCCCGGGTCTCGTGTACACGGGTGAGTGCAGCCACGCCTCCCCTGGTCTCATGTACACGGGTGAGTGCAACCACGCCTCCCCTGGTCTCGTGTACACGGGTGAGTGCAGCCACGCCTCCCCTGGTCTCGTGTACACGGGTGAGTGCAGCCACGCCTCCCCGGGTCTCGTGTACACGGGTGAGTGCAACCACGCCTCCCCTGGTCTCATGTACATGGGAGACGCGGATCCAGTTTCTGGATGGGAGAGTGCAGCCACACCTCCCTGGTCTCATGTACTCGGGTGAGAGCAGCCACGCCTCCCCTGGTCTTGTGTACACGGGTGAGTGCAACCACGCCTCCCCTGGTCTCGTGTACACGGGTGAGAGCAGCCACGCCTCCCCTGGTCTTGTGTACACGGGTGAGAGCAGCCACGCCTCCCCTGGTCTCGTGTACACGGGTGAGAGCAGCCACGCCTCCCCGGTCTCGTGTACACGGGTGAGAGCAGCCACGCCTCCCCTGGTCTCGTGTACACGGGTGAGAGCAGCCACGCCTCCCCTGGTCTCGTGTACACGGGTGAGAGCAGCCACGCCTCCCCTGGTCTCGTGTACACGGGTGAGAGCAGCCACGCCTCCCCTGGTCTCGTGTACACGGGTGAGAGCAGCCACGCCTCCCCGGGTCTCGTGTACACGGGTGAGTGCAACCACGCCTCCCCTGGTCTCGTGTACACGGGTGAGTGCAGCCACGCCTCCCCTGGTCTCGTGTACACGGGTGAGTGCAACCACGCCTCCCCTGGTCTCGTGTACACGGGTGAGTGCAACCACGCCTCCCAGGGTCTCGTGTACACGGGTGAGTGCAACCACGCCTCCCCGGGTCTCGTGTACACGGGTGAGTGCAACCACGCCTCCCCTGGTCTCGTGTACACGGGTGAGTGCAACCACGCCTCCCCTGGTCTCGTGTACACGGGTGAGAGCAGCCACGCCTCCCCGGGTCTCGTGTACACGGGTGAGTGCAACCACGCCTCCCCTGGTCTCGTGTACATGGGAGACGCGGATCCAGTTTCTGGATGGGAGAGTGCAGCCACACCTCCCTGGTCTCATGTACTCGGGTGAGAGCAGCCACGCCTCCCCGGGTCTCGTGTACACTGGTGAGTGCAGCCATGCCTCCAGGGTCTCATGTACACGGATGAGTGCCATGGTGCTTCCAGACAGGGTGCCCGGCCCTCGGGAGACCAGCACAGCACACAGCACTCAGCACACCGTCTGACGTCGTCCGGCTGGGCCCTGTGGGGAGAATGTGGTGACTCCCGGCACTCGCCTCCTTCCGTGGCCTCCACCTTGTCGGGGGCAGCGTGGCCTCGGCAGTCCAGGCACCCCCCAGTCCATCAGGGCAGCTGCGCCCGGCCCCGAGGTCGTGCCCTGCAGGGAGGCTCAGTGGCCAGTGTCCCCTCACAGAGCCGTGGCCGGGGTTCAGGCTCCCCAAGGACAGCTGGTCGCAGGGCTGGGCCCCTGCTGTCCTCGGGGCTGCTCTGCAGGAGGGGGGGGTGTTCCGGGGACCCTGAGAAGCATCCAGAGGGTCTGATATTCTGTGTCCCCTCCAGGCCTCGCGACCGCCTGGGCTCCTGCCTGCCCACCCCCAGTGACAGGCCTTTTCTCCGCTTGGGCCCGCGGCCCTCTGGCCAGGTGGGGGTTATTCCTGGGTGCCCGCTGCCCACTTCCCACTCTGGCTGTGCCTGAGGTGGGCTGCTGCGCAGGTCCCGGGCCCAGCCTTGGGGTGCTGCCCTCCAGCCTGAGACACCTCCGGGGAGCACTGGGTCTGCCTCAGCACCGTGTGGGTGGGTGTGCTTTCTCCCAGGCTGGCCCCCAAAGCAGCCACATACCTGAGCGTGTGCACGGGCAGTGGGTGTGTGAGGTGTGCACGGGCAGCGCGCCTCTTCCAGGGCTCTGAAGTCCAGGTCTTGGCTTCTCCCTGTGGTCCTGGGCACACGTGGTGGTCAGCCCTACTCAAGGCCGGCCCTGCTGTGTCTGCTGCCCCTTGTCAGCTGGGTGTGTTCTGGCCACAGGGTGAGCACCCAGTTCACAGTGGGCCAGGAAATAACTGGCCACTGCCTGGCTGCCCCGTGGGGGTCTGTGCCTGGTGGGGGCAGCTTGGCCAGCAGGGGAGGGTCTGTGCCCGGGGGGTGTCTGTGCCCAGCGGGGGTCTGTGCCGGCTGTCCTGGCAAGGGTGCTTCCAGGGACCTACAGGGTGCAGACCAGGTGCTGTGACTCTCCTGGGTGAGGGGTACAGCTGCTCTGGGTGGGACCCTCCATGGGCAGTGATCGGCCACAGGACCACCGGTGTTCCCTGCCCCCCCCCCAGCCCTGCTGCAGGCTCGTCCTCGATACCGTTCTGGAACGGGGGTGGGCAGCAGCCCAGGCACCTTCTGCCCCTTGGCCGGCCCCATCCCAGGTGGGGCCCCTTTGGGGTGTGGAACCTGCCCTCCCCACGTGTTCCCCTCAGGGCTCAGGGTCTCCTCGGGGAGGGGTCTCCCACAGCAGGGCTGCAGCGAGGTGCCCCCCACCCCAGGGGCAGATACGTTTCAAACAGCGCCGGGCGCAAGGGCAGCGGGTCGTGGCCCGTCTGACCTGGAAGCTTCTGTTGGCTATCACTGTCCTGAAGGTGACGGGCGGGCGGCGGACCGGTCGCTGGGACCAGCCCCACCCCCGAAAGGACCCAGCCCCCGAGGCACGAACAGCCAGGCCTGTGGCGGGCGCCGCCCCTGGGCATCTGACTGCCATCATGCGCCCGCCCGGAGGCTGCCGGGACACCTCAGTGACCCTCCCCGTGCCAGCAGGCAGGCAGGCAGGCGGGCGGGCCTGCGGGTAATGAGCCCTGGGCGGCCAAGGCCCCGCCCCCGCCAGGCGCGCTGGGCTCTGAGAAAGTCCAGAAAGACCCTATTAGCCAAGCCCGGGCAACGCGCCCGCGCCGTGGTGCCCCCTGCCCCCGGGAAGGACGGCCACCAGGCCCTCCACCCAGGCCCTCAGCCGGCTTTCAACTCCGATAAAGACACAATTACCTCGGGAGTGTGAGGCGGCTGAGTTGATTAGCACGGCGAATTAAAAGAAGGAGTCACAAATGACATGTCCAGCCCTCCGCTGGCTCCTTTTATTCCCAGCGAGCCTCACCCCTGTTGTAAGGAGGTCAGAAATGAGAGAGAGAGAACAATTTTCGAGCGGCTAGCACTTAGGAGCAGAATTAACAATCACTCTGTATGTAATTGCCAGTTAATAGTAAATTGCCTCGCAGACTGTAAACGCAGTGTAAACGGGCAGCTCCTAAAATTAAATTAATGAGATATTTGCTGCATTTAAAAGTGAATAGTGCAAATTAATATCGGAGCGCGACGCTTGTTTTAATATTTGTCTGAGAGTGTGTCGGTGGCCGCGTTCGTGCTGATTACGGAGAAGCCAAGGGCCCTTACCTGAGCGGCTCCTGCCAGGTGACCCGAGGGGGCCCCTCCCCGATCCCACCCACAGACACGCCTCGAAGGGTTAAGAGTAATGAAGGAAATCATTTTTAATTAGCATACAGGATCGAGGTGTTATTTGATTAAGACAAATTGGAATTTGTATGCTTCTAATTGAAATTAGGTTGGTGACAAACTACTTTTACAAACACCTGTTTGGGGGCTGGAGCGACAGCACAGCGGGGAGGGCGCTGGCCTTGCCCACGGCTGACCGGGGTCCACCCCCAGCACCCTGTGTGGTCCCCGAGCCCTCTCAGGAGTGATCCCCGAGTCCTGAGCACCGCCGGGTGTGGCCCCCAAACAAGACAGAAGACCAAAAATCCCCCCAAATCTCCCAAAACAAACACCCCAAACACCTGCTCCAAGGGGCGCCTCCAGCAGGCCCGAGGCAGTGGGCGCGGGGCCGGACGTTGGCCGCTCCTTCCAGACCCTGGGCCTCCGCAGCACGGGTGGTGGGGCGGGCATGGGTGGGGGTGGGGGTCAGCGGGCAGCTGGGTGGCAGTGGGCGCTTCCCGCGACGGGGCCGGTGTTGGCCGAGGGGTTGGCATGCGGGCGTGGCGCCCCCTCCCCATCCTGCTTCTCGAGCGGTCTGTGCGGGGACCACCTCTGCCCACAGCAGGGACCCCAGCAGCGTCCAGCCGCCCAGCTGGGCCAGTCGCGCTGGCCTCCCTCTGCAGATGGGCCAGCGCTTCTCTCAAGTGCACCAGCCTGGCGTCAGCGTGGCCTCTGACCATGCCAACCGGTAGAGAGAGTTTGGGGCATCTGAGCCCCGGGTGCTGGGCACCCCACGCCCGCCAGCAAGGCTCTGTGGCTGCACCGGGACCACGGCCAGTTGGGGTGTCCACGCACCCCCGGAGAGCAGACACCCGGGCTCGGGGCTGAGGTCAGCCCCAGGGATAGTGCGCAGGGGCCCACCCAGGACACCTCCTGGCCTCTCCTGAGCAAGCCCCGGTTCAGTTGCTCAGAGAACGTCTCCCGAGCTGCCCAGGGTGGGGGTCTCTGTGCCTGTTGGGCCTCTCTTGAGCTGCTGGGGCGGGGGTCTCCGTGCCCAGCCGGGCCCCTCCCAAGCTGCTGGGGTGAAATCTCCCTGCCCAGCCGGCCCCTCCCGAGCTGTTGGGGTGGGTTCTCCCTGTCCAGCCAGTTCCCCGCTGCCCGCGGCCTTGGTTTGCTGGCCGACAGGGACCCTCCAGGAGCTGCGCTGAGTTTCGGGCTCCTGGCCCCGGGCTCCGTGGGGCTCTGGGTGGGGGGCGCCCTGACCCTCCCTCGCCCTGGCCGTGGCAGCGGGAGTGCCCGTGTGGGGGCTGCAGGGTCCGGGTGGGCCGGCTCGCCCTCCGTCTCTCGGGGGCAGCAGGAGACGCA